ACCTACTGTAACTTAAAAGTGCTTCATGCTCAAGCTACCCTGCTGTGGAGAACACAGTGAACCGGGTCGAAACCGACGGTCGAATTGTGGTTCGTGTGCTGCTTCCGACACTACGACACTGCTATCGACACTAAGATAGATATTTTCATAGTGATTATTGATACCCTAATTTACATCTTCAATTTTTACGTCTTGCAAGTACACAAGAAATAAGATAGATATTTTCATATTGATTACTGATGCCTTAGTTTACATCTATTCAAGTGTTACGTTTTTCGGGTATAAAATTACGACTGGAGTGACCCTATCGTGCTTTCCTTCTTCTGGATTTTACACCTCCTTTAACACTCTTGCGTGTTACATAGCGGCATTTTGGGAACGTTTTCTACAAAGACGGGATGCATTTAGAGTGGGTATCAAGGTAGGCAATGTGTCAAAAAAGTCAACTTGACAGATCTTTAGGATGAGGTTCTGTTCTCATTCTCCAGGAAATTCCAGTTTGTCTAAAACTGTGGGGGTACTACCGGCGTCGTCTAAAGCCCTCTTTAAATTTGGATTTATTCTTATCGACCACTGGGTTTTCCATTTGGCATCAGATTGCGCGAACTTATCATAGGGCAAATAACGTTTTAAGCATTAGCGTATGCAATTATATGGAAGGGATGCATGCGTTAGGACGAGTCTAACTAATAGCTAGCAGGCAGCTAGCATACAGACAACGAGCCGCGCTCATTGCAGGCTATCGATCGGCCTACACACGACGAACGCACACACGTCAATCAATCAATAATTCACAAATAAAGCTACAGCCAGTTGTGAGTCAGCAGCCAATCGTGCCACTACCCACGCTAGGACAGAATCTGATTGGCTCGATGGACATAGTTTTCACTCGTTTGTTTCCCGAAATATTTTTACTAGTTACACTAAAGGACTTCTGCTTTTGCCCTCTTCTTGTCGTGCTCTTCATTAAATGCTCACATCAGACGTAATTAGACGGCGAGATCTCGGCCTTGGCTACCGTTACAACAGCATGCACCAACATTATAGGCTAAAACAAATTAAATGTCTGTTTTGTTATCGTTTAAATGCGTCGAGCACTGCTTTGGTTTGGTATGACAGTCGTACTGTTCTACCGCATGTGCGACCCATTACTGGAACGCTGTTTGTAGGTTAAATTGTAAGGTCAATCAGGCTGTCATTCATGAATAACAAAAAACAGTCAATTCCCAGAGTCGTCTTGCCGGTCGGAAAGAGACGAATATCGCTCAGGCCTCATAGCTGGCGAACGTGGCCGTAGTATCTCAGTTTCCCACGTCAGGCGGCTGATCATCTAGACAGTGGCCTGTTGCTGGCGGTAAAAGGAGAGAGTGAAGTCGACCCTCAGCGCATTTATTTCCTCACTACAAAAAATCTGATGCGCTTGAAGCTATCGCGTTGTGCTAAAAGCTGTGGCTTAGATGATTGCCAACTGACAGGGTAATGTGGGCACCACAGTCGGCCCAGTGTGTGCCTTGTTGTGTGGAATGTCTAACTGCGGGCTGAGAGTCCGGCTTAATGGCTCCTTCTTAATGTGGCCTCTATGGTGCTCCCAGGAGGGAGCCTACCTAGCGAGGCGTGTTGTTAGTACGCGTGTTGAGTGCTGGTCTCATCAGCCGCCTGCGCCCTCTCCCATCTCCAGTCTTCTCGACATTTGTCTTGACGTCGCCCCCCGTGTGGGAATGGTGAGAGGGTAGGGTAGATTCTCAGAAAGTCTATTTTCACTATAATCCCGTGGGAGTCACCGCGTTGCCTCAGCTTGCTGAGGCTCGTGGTGGACCTCGTCGAGAACGACGGCCGAACTTTCGGTAGCTCAGTCATAGCGTACGTGAGCCAAAGCTAATAGTTGGACACTTTGTTGTATGCAGATTTTTCTGCTTAGCATTTTGCCTACCTTATCAGATAGTTGTTAAAACCTAGTCTAACCTCTGTTTGCCTTTGTACTTTGCTGTTATTTTTTGACTCGGTACTGCAAGCGATACTTCCCGTTCGTGTTTTTAGAATACTCAGATGCCAACACACACTTTTTTGTTCGTGTCTACTATGCAGTGGAATTCTTCAATCTGAGGAAACTCCTTT